GGTTTTGGATCTTCTAATCAAGAATGCATTGAAAAGAAAGATAAATATTTTTAACATTTTGCATGAATAGAAACTGAATGTGTACAAACCTGTCATTGTACCACTACACTAACTGGGCAGAGGATCACATACTCACACAGTATGTGATTATGGTCCTTAAATTTGGGGACAGTTCTGCCCCCACGGCGACCTCTGTCTCATCACTGATGCAGGTATCTGGACTACTGACCTCACATGGCCCAGAAAGCACTGACCCCTTTGTGCAGCCAGACAGCTCAGAAAAAGTGATCTTAAATAATGCAAGGGAATATAAATCTTGTAAAAATAGGTGTTTTGTTTTTTACAATCTATTTTAAGTTAACCAAGGTTTTCTGAAGTTTTTATTTTGTTGTTAGCATTGTTAGTCATTAGTATGATGCATGTAAAATTGCTTGCTATCACACAAAAATTAAACTGTACTTAAATTAATAAAGAAGGAATAAGTTTCAAAAGAATCTTAGCTTATCAGAGGTCAAATCAAACATTTGTGCTCAGTAACTGATTGTCAGTTTGTTCCCTATGAAAGGAAATGTTTTCCAGTCTCTTTCATTGCTGCTCCATGTGCCCTCACATGGCCTCACCTATCGTCTCGATTGCTTTTATTTTACATTTAGGGACACCTAGTGGCTTGTGTCTGATTTGCTCTGGAAAGCAGCAATGACTTCGTATTTCCAAATCAACTTTGTGGGTTTCCAGATCTTACTTATCTATTAAACCATAGCATAATAAATAGTTAACTTCATAAAAAAAATTACAAAAACACAGAAGTGTATTTCATGGTACACATGAAAAGTTTGAGACAGCAACAAAAACATTTGTCCCCCTATTCATTCTTTTTGAAATCCATACCCAAGGAGTAAACATGTCTATTTCTTTTTCATACCATAGAAAATGTACCCTAATTATTTTTTTCCAGAAACTTCAATTTTATTCATCTTGTGCACTAGATTTATTACTTTGGCCACTGTATCTTGTCCTAAACATCTCAAATAGATGATAGATGCCATTTTTCATTGTTCCATGCATGTTTGTATGCACACATTCCTTTCAGCTTTTGATTTAATGGAGTGCTTCAACCCTACCAGCTCTCTTGGTGTCAGTAGTATTGCTCTGTATGTAAAAAGAGGTGGCAGAACAAAGCCCCTACCAAAAACTTAGGTAAGGCTCAGTAATTCCTTCCTCTCCAATCTTAAATAAAAAAAAAGTCCCTAAGCAAACAAACAGTTTGAGTTTGACTACTCAGATATTTAGCAGATCTTTTTTCTAACCTAGTTAACCCACATAATCTTATGAGTCTACTCTTTGCTGCACATTGAACAAATCTTTTCTTAATGCTTTCAAATAAGCTCAATTCCTGGGACACTCAATGAATGCTTTTAATCTACATCAGCTCACTACCGATATTTTTGAGATCATAATCCTATCTTCAGCTTACTTCAAAATATTTACATTAAAAAGAAGCCATGAAACCACAGCAAAAATAAAAAAATCAGCGGCTTCTTTATTTCCTGTATCTGTTAAATAAATACACAGGAAATGTTTAAATTAATATTTTAAAGTACCCATAATAGCTCAGCTTTTTCAGCCTTTTATTTAAAAAAAAATTATTTTATACCCTAAGGCCACCTTATATACATACTGACAAGAAATCCAAATATTTCCCATCCCATTTTATACATCCAATATTGAAAAGCAAAAGTGTGAAGCGAGGAAGCATAGGAAGGAAAAAGCGCTCAGAAATATTTACGAGAAGAACAAAACAAGGAGGTCACTTCCGAGAGCTCGAATGCCGTTAGACTGCAATTCAACAATACCAAATCACGTTTTGCAGGCCGAGCAGAAAGAGTTAATTAGGGTTTTACCTTCCTCCTTGTTGGCACTTTGCTCCCTCTCGTGGCCAAAACTGAGTATGACAGACCTTGGTAATTAAATTAAACAAACCCGTATTTATTATTCATATTTTAAAATAAATAATGTTGTGAACCTACCCCTTTGACAGATCTAGTGTCTACAGTTTTATCGTTTTCAGGGAAAAACTCAAACAAAAAATATAGTTTGTAAATACAATAAGAAAATTATTAAGATGTTAAATTCTGTATTGCCTAAAGTTGCCTGGCTTTATTTCCACAATGTAACAAGTACAGGCTTATCTCACCCTTTTATCTGACAGCAATTTGTGAAATTACATTTATTCTCATAAAGGTTTGCTGATTTAATCAACAGCATTATCCAAAAGTCTTGCCAATGGTGAACACACCCATAGCTTATCTTTGCAAAACAATACCGCCATTGACATGAAATGTGACATCTTTTCATCAATATTTCATCACATTATACATAAGATAATACAATAAATTCTCACTACTTGACAACTATCCTGTAATGCAATCTAAGCTAATGCTTTTTCATATTTCAGTATGTGATATCTGTCAACAATATTGTTAACCACTAATTGCTCTTATTCATCTCAGAAACATGCTTTGATTACTAATTGAGGCCAGATAAATATTTCACTTGATTGAAATTGCTTTGCCACCCATTCAGATAAAGAGAAAAATCTTTAAAAGAAGATGAAGAGAAGAAAACTAGAGAAATTAATTACTGGGTGATTATGACAATAAAAACAGAGACTGAAATTAATATATCATCTGAATGATTAATAAAATAGTGAGTGAACCTTATTTTTTATGAGAAGTATATGTACAGGTATCTACAACCCCAGATCATAAGAAACAGGCCCAGTTTTTCATATTTGTATCAGATTTTTCAAAGTTTTGAAGTGCTTTTCATTAATAGTTGTCAAAACATTCCAGAATGGAAGTAAATATAATATTTTATTAAATTAGAGATGGGAAAAGTAAACCACTGATGGGCAAATGTGCAAATGCTGCACAGTGTTTCCCAAATATAAGAACGCTCAACTCTGCATTGCAACACTGCATTTCTGAATCAAGCAGTCGTTCATCCAGCCAAAATAAAACTTCAACAAAAGAATCTGAAAAATACTTTTCCAAAGCAAAACTTCATTTTACACATTCTGTTACAAAGAATTATTTTGGATAAAATGAGATGAAGTGGTATGCAGACCAAAAATTAAGAAAATAACTAGAATTCTTTTCTATGTGGGTGTGAAACTCTGGAAGAGGGTGCCCAGAGAAGCTGAGGATGCCCCATCCCTGAAAGGATTCAAGGCCCAGTTGAAAGGGGCTCTGAGCAACCTGCTCTAGTGGAAGTCATCCTTGCCTATGACAGGGGCTCAGAACTAGGTGGTCTTTAGGGCTCCTTCCAACCCCAACCATTCTAGGATTGTATGAAATTTATTTCTGTGGTATTAATGTGTACTACTCCTATGGAGTGAGTTGTTTTCCCAAGACAACAATTACCAATTCTGTTTTGCTGAAAGGCAAAACAGAAATCACACAGTTTTGTGATCCTGTCTGAGCAGAAGATGCAATTAAGGTCTTTGGTGTGACCTTCCCTTTGTGTCAAATCGTGCTAAAACGTATGTGACAGTTTGTGTTATGGAAACCTCCATGTATCAATGATTAAGGAGAAGCTGTCAAAATAATTTATTTAAGTTCACAGGCAGAATTCATGACTCACATGAAGTGTCAAAAAGCACAAGCAATATCTAGTTTATCCGAGAGGTTACTTGGTCTCATACAATTACTTCACTTTCCTGATAACATTTTTTGACTACAAAAACTTTAGCTGAGGTTCCAGCTACCACTGTTGTCTTTAAAGGGCTAGTGTCCACCTTTTCTGAGAAAAAGAGTATTAACTAAAGTTCCTAAAGTAAGTTGACTTGTATCATCTCATTTTGCTTTCAATGTGATTGTCACTAAAATTTCCATAAGCAAGCCCAGAAAAAGAGGTACCTTTGAAAGTTTTCAACTGGTATGCCATATTTCAGTGTTCAATACTTGGCCTGATGCAGTTTAATCAAATATCACCCTTTACATTACAGCTCTATTTTCACAACTTATAACTTGTCTACATAAAATGATTCATATGGTGAAGTGATTTAAGAAATCTCATCTTCAAAGTTTTTCATTTTACTGTATTAAAAATATTTTGAAATCTAAACTCCAGAAGTGCTAGGAAAAAAAAACTTTGCAAGAAATAAGTTTCAACAAATTACAAACTTTACATGCTATTGTCTTTATTTATTACATTCACTTACCTATAAAACATAACCTCTTGATGCAGACTGTAGTCACATTAGCATATTTGAGAACATCACTATTTAAGTCAAGGCAGTTATCTTGGGGAAGTAGTCTTGGTATAAATCTGAATTCAATAATACTAAAATACAAATATTGCATACTTTAGCTACTATGTTTATTATACCAAAATAGGGAAAACATAGGCAATAAAAATACAGTTAAATCTTTTGACATCCTTCCAATTCCCTGTGGATTTTAGGCAAACAAAGGTAGGAAGACATGATTTTAGAGAATACATTTTTTTTTTAAAATATAATGAATCTCATGGTGTTATTTACAGCCCTAGATGAGACTGTGAATAAATAATTCTGTGGTTAACATGACCTCACCTGTGCACCGCACAGCCCGTTCACCTCCACTCCTCACAAGAATCTTCTGCAGATCTGAGCTTCTCCGGGACTGACCTTTGAACAAAAAAGAAAAAGATGAACACACATCACGTTTCGCGTTTTTACGGTATTCATTCAGTGCAGTTCATGAATTATTTTCAAACAGAAACTTACAAGAAGCATCCTGGCCGCTGCACAGCCCTCACGCCACCAGGTGCGCACGCAGCGCGCGGGGTGATGGGCCTCGAGCTCCCTCAGCTGCTGCCGCTCCCACAGCTGCGAGAAATCACACCACACCTGCGAGAAATCACACCCCACCCGCCTCCTGCCAGCGGAAATGTTCTTTTCACCGTATTTAGGGCAGGGCGGGCAGAGGAGAAAGTTTCTGTGCTTTATCGCCCCGTGGGGTAGCTTTGAAGGGCGGGCTGGGCCCTTCTGCCTGTCCCGCGGCAGGCGGGGTGCGGCCCCGTGAGGGGAGCGCAGCGGCTGGAGCCCGGCTTTTCCCTACGTTCTTTTTCTGCAGCCCATGTTTCTCCCGGAGCAACCGGGGCAGGGAGCGGCCGCGGCAGCTCCGTCCCTCAGCGGGAGCTCGCCGGGCTGAGGGCGGCGGTGCCGCTGGGCAGCGCCAGCCGGGTCCGGCCCGTGCCGGGTGTTGCCGCTCCCGAGCGGGATAAAACCGCTCCCGAGCGGGATAAAACCTGTCCTGCTGTTTCCTCGTCCCTTCAGCACCCTCCCTGCCCCGTACGCAGTGCCTGGGAGCCGCTGGAGGTAAGGGCAGCTCCCGGCAGCTGCCCCTCAGTCCCTCCCTTTCCTGCCGGGGGCTGCTGCCCCTCATCCCCCCTCTCTTTCCTGCAAATCCCCTCTCTTTATTGCGGGGGGCTGCTGCCCCTCAGCTCCTCTCTTTCCTGCTGGAGACTGCAGCCCCTCAGCCCCTCTCTTTCCTGCAAATCCCCTCTCTTTTCTGCCGGGGCTGCTGCCCCTCAGGCCCCCATCCCCCTGGGGATGCCCTGTGCGGCGTTAAGTCTCCGCTTCCTCACGTCAGATTTGGCAATAGTGAGTTCCCCAGAGCTTTTTTTTCAGTGGGTGAGAAGCCTTTTAAGCCGGTGCAGTGTTTTTTCTTTCTTACTTGGGCAAATTTCATCCGTTTCTGGGAGGTTTTGTTGGTCTGCTGCACGTGTAGAATCAGCTTTGTAACTTTCAGTCTGATATGTGATGTTGAATGTCTGTTGCTTCTGTTTTCAGGGTAGTTTAGTGAATTACATAAAATCTGTCAGTTGCCTTGGTATGTGTCTGTTCACTGGATTTATTAGAGAAAACTAGTTCTGTGAGAACATATACAGTGCAAAATGCTTGCTCCTTGAAGTGTGAAAATGCTTTTGTGCTATTTTGGTGATTCATTATTGAGTATTCCTTACTGTGCATATGCAAAGCATTAGGGTACACTTTTTTTTTTTTCCAGCAGTCTCATTTTCTCTTGCAAGTGGTTCTGGTTGAAGGGTGGGATTTTTTTTATTTTTTTTTTTACTTGCTCAATTAAAATTTAATTAGGATGGCTCACTTAGAATCTTGGGGCGTTTCTGTGATGATTACTTTTCCAGTTGGTGCTAGAAATAGTAGTAGTTTTAATATACCATGAAATTTTAAAATGTCAGTGATGTCCTTGGTACAGAACTATGATCTTTTTGGAACTACTCATTGCAAAAATGGCTGTTCTGCTGGGGTAGGTCTGCTGAAAAGGTTTGTGTCAGTAGGACTGATTACATGACATTAAGGGGTTTTTGTTTAAAGACTTTTCAGTGCTAGCGTTTGAAGTTCACTGTCAAGAAAACTGCAATCTGGGCATTGCAATGCATTGAGTAAGTTTTGGACTTCAATCCTGCTTCCTAATAAACAGCGTCATTTTCCTTGAGCAGGTATGACTGTGTCTATAACAAGTCATTCAGAGTTGTTTACACTAAACAGCTGCATGACCTGTAGCAAAGAACACTGCAGAGAGATCTGTTTGTTAATTGAGAGTATCTAAAGAGTAAAACTGACAAAAAAGTAGCTTGTCAGAGTTTAGAAATCCTCACTATGATGTGATTGCGTACACCACTGATTAATGATTATTACATGATAATTGAAAAAACAAGGGCTGGTGAAATGTTCTGGTTGTTTTGTTTTAGCCATCTGATTCCAATTTTGTTTGCTATTTAAACACCCTGGAGTACAGTGTAGCTGAACCAAAAACATCACCTTTCTATGATCATCAGGGTTTTTTTTGTCTTAAATGAATTCAAGGTCACTTAAGGAAGGTAAAATTACTGACTTAAAACTTTAATTCATATTCCCTGCCTGTCAGTTTGAGATCCTTGTAAATTTTGGTTTTAGCTTTCATGTGTTGTGACTTTACCAGATTGTATGTTTTTTGTGTTAAAACAGTGTAAATAAAGATGAATTTTATCATTATGGCTAGTTCTGTAATAAACTAGCCATAATTTGTGATATTTCATAAAAATGCAAGTTAATCAAAGCTTTTGTCATTTACAAATGATTTTGCTTATATCTGTGGGGTATTTTGACACAGACTCAAAGTTTATCACTCTCTACCCTTTTGAAGTTTTGGAGGCCATAAACTTGGAGATGACATTACCTTAGCAGGCCCGTTGATTCACATGGGATTGTTGGGATCATTGAGTCTTTAAGGGGCATAAATGCTTTTCTGCTCAAAAACCTATTTACAACTAAGAAAATGTAAGGAGTTGTTCCTTTGCTAGCATAAGGATGGAACACTTTCTTGGAGGGAAAACTGTTATTTTCAATAAACCCAGGCATGACTGAACATGTATAAAACTGAGGGTAAAATCTTTGAATAAGATGCAATTTCATAGAAATCAAAGCTTACGTTCTGCAGAGACTGATGGCTCTCCTGTCACATATGCTTTCCTGTAAGAATTGATGTGTGATTGTCCTAAAACCTGATGGAAAGTCTGCTGCTGCAAAGCATTTCACCATTTGGATGTAACTCCACTGGAGATGACTTAAGGTGATAGTTTTTCTGTGCTCAGTGCTGTAGGAGTGACAGATAACTCACATGTGTGTGTTTCTGGCAAGGCTCCATTTCCTGGACATATCCACTCTTGTAGCTGATAGGACATTCAGACACCTTATTTCAGACAGTAAAATAAATGTGTTTTTTCTTTTTTTCTTAAAGAGAAGATGTCTTTTACAGCTCCACGTGCATGTTTGCATAATATATATTTTTTATTAAACTTAGTTGATATCCTTGATATATGGAATTTAAAAGGAATTTGTTAGCTCACATGCATTAAATTTTGTCTAACATGTTTAAACAGCTATTATGTTGTTGAAGCCTTTAATGACCATTGAAGAAAGTGGAAATTTATATTTTTGGACACACTTGATTTATCTACTTAGCAAAAAAGCATGCTGTGATATTTTTCTAGGGAGCTTAATATAATGTAACTGTTTATGAGGTAAAAAAAAGAACTTCAAGGAAGTGAAGATGGTTTTACTGTATCTTATGACAGTGTGAAAAGCACAAATGTTGAGGTGCTGTGTTTTCAACTGCCCCATTTTCCAGCTAAGGTGCAACATAAACTATCTTAATATTGTGTCACCAAAAGGTTTTGAGACGGCCAATTGAATTCTGCCAAGATAGAGTCTTTTGATGAAAACATATCTTTATTGATTGTAGAAGAAGAAAATCATTCTTAAAATGAAATCCAGAGAAAAAAAGTCATATCCCTCAGAGAAAATTTCTGAGTGGCAGGTTGAGATTAACATCATAAAATTGAATTTGTGCTGCAAACCTTTGATGTAATCAGCAGCTGGGAGATGGTGTTGCCCTTACTGTGCTCCTTCTGATTGTGGTGAATTATTGTGTGGAATGAAATAAGTGTTTCTTGTGTCACTCGTTCAAGAAATACAAACAAGGTATTACCAGGTGCTTCTTGCTAGTTAAAATGGGTTGTATCGATTGCTGGTCCCAGTGCCCTGCTCTCCTGGACTGCAGGAGCAGGACATCCCCATCCCCAGGGATGCTCTGGGTGTCACTCAGCAGTGACTCCAGCCCTCTAGGGTGTAGTCCAACAGGTCTTGAGGAAAGTCCCATCATATCCTAAAATGAATTACCACAAATGGTTTGCAACATACTTAAGGAGAGCGCAACATTTACATAATAAAATAAAGTTGTGAAAGCAGCGTAGAATGGACCAACAGACTGCAAAGCTACTTTGAAGAAAAATTATTAGCTTTTTACTAAGAGTAAAACCAATATTGATAAGACTTTATTTTCTTGTGTAGAAACAAAGAATATGTCAGATTAAATGAAAGAGCAGACAGGAACAGGAGAATGAGATAGATTAAAAGCACAAAAACCATAGGAATTGGTTGATAAAAAATTTAGACTCCACCTAAATTTTACTTCCTAAGGTTTCTTTTACTACAAAAATGAATATAATGGGGTGTGCGGGGTGGGGGGGGGGGGGAC